CCCATTCTAGCACTTGCATGTTCTGCTTCCCTGTGTATCTTGGGATTTCTAGATGCTGAATTGTGTTTGCCTGGAGGCAAGGACTCCTTCTGCTAGAACACTGGGTAATGGTAGTAGGCAGTTCTGTAAAGCTTGTGACTTAAGAACCTTCAGGGTCTCTTGAAAATCTTTTCATAAATTTTGCATTGGTGTGATGTTGGACTATAGACTGACGGTTGTTGAAAGATTCAGCCTATTAGATTTGTGATGTCGTCAATAATAAAACTGTTGCTGAGATTGTTGGCTTGCATGAGTAGCCAGCCACCTGGTGAGCATTCTCTAACTTATAAAAACAATGTTTTCCTGCTTCGCCTGGGTGCTTGGGTGTGGCATTCCTCTTCAGGATGGCAGCAAGATAACTTGGAATTTTTAGATACCCTCTCCTGTGAGCACCCTTGAGCCACAAACGCAATGCTCAGATAGCATGTGTCACATTGGGAGGCAGTCTTTCCTGCACTAGTGCGATTCACAGGCTGTGAGCTCTGGGAATGTGGGTATGCTTCCTTGGACTCCCAAGTGTCTGGCATGCAAGCTAGAGAATAGAAGATGCTTGGTATGTATTTATACAATAAACAGTAGAAAAAGTGAGAGATATTGCTATGAAAAGCTCCCTTAATAATAAATTTGGGAATGTAAGTGGCTAGATCAATTGAAAATGTCCATTAATCAGTATTTATAAAAATGGATTCATTTGTAACATGAATATTTCAATTTTACCTATAATTCATTCACTATAATAGAATGAGACTGTGGAACATTTGTTTATGTAGGGTTCAGCAAATAGAATTCTACTCTGTCTGGTTGAAAGCATATCTATCAATCATTGTCAGTGATTTGCAGTTTGAATTAGTTTAAGGGTAGATCTTAGCATCAGACGCATAGCATTCTGTCTTAGTAAATCATTCAATATTGCTCATTTTTGTGTTAATCTGTGGCATTGGAAGACTCACACCTACAGAACTAACAGTAATTTTGGAACATGCTTTCATTGTTCATTTAAGCATTCAGATTAGTTTTTATGGAAACTGCAATTCTTCTTTCATACTCTTTTTTCATTGATCTGTGCTGTATTTTGATAGATTAGGTAATTATATCGAGAAGCCTAATTGGCAAAAGCAGGACAGGAAACAGATCCAATTGGTTCTTGTGAGGCTGATGACTCAGTGCCCTTGTGCCCAGGTGTACAGGAACATCAGTAAATGGCCATGAAGGCTCAGTATTTGCTCAAAACCCGTCAGTATATTTTCTTCCTGAAGAGGAAGGGATTGCTTACAGAGATAGAATATATTAGTGAGAGAATTATTTGAAAGGTGTTTGCTTTTATGTAGAATTAGCACAGTACCTGATGAATTATGATCGAATGTTTGTTGAATTCATGCCTAAAATATAGTCATGAATTGCAACTCCCGAGTACCAAGAGAGATTTTCATGCATTTTCTCATTTTCTGGAGAACACTCCTGGATGTCCTGCATGCTCTTTCTTCCTATGAAACCAAGATTAAATAGTATCATTGACCTTGGAAAGAAGGCAGCTCAGGAGCAGATTCCTGCATCCCCTCTATTCTTCCCAGAGGCAGTGAGCAGACCGGCAATGAAAGGGAACAGCTGTTCTCAGAATGACCAACTGCAGAGGACACTCTGTTAAGTGGGAGGTGCCTGTAGGAGTTCCAGGGAGACCTGGTGACTGAGCCAGCCTTTGCAAAATGCTGGATGACCCTGTGATTTTCAGGTGGGAGCTACTTAAGAAAAATATTTACCAAACATCTTCTAACTTCCACATCTAATCTGTTGCACTAGAAATTCAAAGTCATGATCCTTATTCTAAAAGACCTCAGAGTGCAGTTGAAGAGAAAGATGTGAGGAAAAGTAATTCAAGTACACTGTTATGTGTGCTGAGATTGAGCAATGTGTGAGTTCAAGTGAGTTCAGACTGGGCTTCAGGGACAGAATCTAAGCTCTCATGAAGTTGAAGTTCTCTTCTGTCAAAAGAGAAAGAATGCCACTGACATCAAAATAAGCAGTTTTTCAAGTGAGGAACAAAATTATTTGATTCAATTGCCAGGCGAAAATTCTCTACAGAGTTCCTCATGATAGACAACATCTTTAGCCAAAACAGTACAATTGATGTCACAGACTCCCAGAGTGGACTCTCCCAATAACCTCAGCGTGAACGAAAGACATCACATCAAAGCTCTTGACCTGAGCATTGGCTGCAAACACTGCCTTCTGGCTTCCTCCGACCTATAGGAAACCCTCACCTACAGCCACGTCCTACCCATTTGGAAATTGAGAGTGGACAGATAGGATCAGCATCAGCAGAGTGCTGGGCCTGGAAGAGCAAAGGATCTGACCTCTGGGGACTTGAGTTCAACATTGTGAACAGTGTGATAGGCACCACCAATAAATTTGGTTAGACTATGGAAAGAGTATAGACTTCATACATATATATATATATATATATATATATATATATATATATATGTGTGTGTGTGTGTGTGTGTGTGTGTGTGTGTGTGTGTTTTCTCATTGTTCAACACTCTCCTATGAGTGAGAACATGCAGTGTTTGATTTTCTATTCTTGTGTCAGTTTGTTGAGAATGATGGTTTCCAGGTTCATCCATGTCCCTACAAAGGACACGAATTCGTCGTTTTTTATGGCTGCATAGTATTCCATGGCATATATGTGCCATATTTTCCCTGTACAGTCTATCGTTGATGGGCATTTGGGTTGGTTTCAAGTCTTTGCTATTGTGAAGAGTGCTGCAGTGAACATTTGTGTGCATGTGTCCTTAAAATAGAACGATTTATAATCCTTTGGATATATACCCAGTAATGGGATTGCTGGGTCAAATGGAATTTCTATTTCTAGGTCCTTGAGGCAGCACCACACTGTCCTCCACAATGGTTGAACTAATTTACACTCCCACCAACAGTATAAAAGTGTTCCTATTTCTCCACATCCTCTCCAGCATGTGCTGTCTCCAGATTTTTTAATGATCGCCATTCTAACTGGCGTGAGATGGTATCTCAATGCAGTTTTGATTTGCATTTATCTAATGACCAGTGATGATGAGCATTTTTTCATATGTTTGTTGGCCTCATATATGTCTTCTTCTTCTTTTTTTTTTTTAGGTGGAGTCTCGCTCTGTCACTCCATCACCCAGGCTGGAGTGCAGTAGTGCAATCTTGGCTCACTACAACCTCTGCCTCCTGGGTTCAAGTGATTCTCTGGCCTCAGCCTCCTGAGTAGCTGGAATCTCAGGTACACACCACCATGCCCAGCTAATTTTTGTATTTTTAGTAGATACAGGGTTTCGCCATGTTTGTCAGGCTGGTCTTGAACTCCTGACCTCGTGATCTGCCCACCTTGGCCTCCCAATGTGCTGGGATTACAGGCATGAGACAGGGTGCCCAGCCAGCGTATAGACTTCTTTATTGCTTTCATAGTTACTTTGCACTGTCTCCTGCATACTCAAATTGCATGTGTCAGCTCCCCTCAGTGAAGGTCAATCTGAGGGGCAGCCTCACTGTCTATGAGCAGCACAGAGCCTGCTGTGATATCACGTCTTCTCTTGGGGGTCTCTTCTGTCTGCCTGAGTTATCTGTGGAAGGGACAACCACTGGTGGAGAATAGTCCTGAATTTTGTTCTGATCCTGGTTTTATAATTAAAAGTTTTTAATTGTGGTAAAATTTATATAACATATATTTTACAACTGTAACCATTTAAAGTGTACAGTTCAGTATCATTAAGTATGTTCAAAATAATTTGTAACTGTTACCACTGCCCCCTGTAAGAGCTCTTCATTATTTCACAGAGAAATTCTGTCTCATTCAATAATGGCTACTCATTCTCTCCATCATCCAGTGCCAGGATCTTTCTAATTTACTTTCTGCATTCACGAATTTCCTAGTTTCAATACCTCATAAAATTTGAACTTGCAATGTTGTTCTTTGGTCAGGCTTATATTCCTTAGCATGGTATTTCTGGTTTCATCTCTATGTCACAGCATGTATTATAATTCTATACCAACTGTAAGTTATTATCCACATACTATAATTGACATTAGTATAGAAAGTTCAGATGTTTTTAGTGGTGCTTCTCATGTTAATGGCTATACAAGTAACTGAAAGTTACAGCCAGAACAATTTAGACAAACCTGGCAGTATGGAGAATTCTCCTGCAACTGAAACAATGTGTAACCAAAAACAAATGGTGTTAGAGATAATTTCCACTTTGAAACCAATATTGAGGTTTCCAATGGTCAAAATGGAACTGGTAGGCATATTTATGGGCTCCTCACTGGTCCATTAGTCCAGGTAGAGCTAAATAAGCACTTACCAGTTCTCCAGAGGAATGGCCATGGTTGTCTTTACTAGAAACCAAGGCCAATGTGTCGCCATGCCATGAACAAATGACAGAAGAGGACTTCTCATAAAACCAATTTCCTAGACTGTGTTTATGAAGAGAGATTTTGTCACTAAGGACACTATTTTGCTCTATGTATGAGAATGCAGAGGATCATAGAGATAGCAGAACTCACTTTTTCAGAATTGAGCTTCCAACTGCAGTGATGCCTCCCGTCATAGAAGGGAACATGATTTTCAGGGGACAGTAGTGTGAGTTATTAATCAGGAATTTTCCTTCTCATTATAATCAGGTAGGAAATGAGTATGTAGAAGAGTTTTAAGTTTTCGGACAGGAACTCCTTTTATTACAATGAAACTTGCAGAAAAAGTGTTCAGTAAGAAAGATTCAGTGTAAGATAACAGTGAAAAATGTACTGCTAATATCGAAGAGAATCTAAACATTGTACTGTATGACTTAATACTTCCTGTGGGTGAAAACTGGAACTGTTAGGTTAGATAAACGTTTATTTGAAGGCGTTGAGTTACTACTGAGACATTTCTAAGGTAGAAAGCTAAGAAAAATGCATAGAATTGTGGCAGGGGAGTGTTGCACTCAAGTCCCGTCTGACTGACAGGGTAGAGGCTGTCTCTCACTGCCCAACCTGCTTCCCGGCAGCTCCAGAGTTTCCTCAGGAAGCCGCTCTCCATCTTCATCCACCTCGGGCGTGTCCTGCAGAGCCCTCTGGAGAACCAGCTTCAGGGTCTTCCAATTTTGACGCTGCCTAAAGGAGCCGACGAAGAAGTAAATGATGGGGTTGGCACTGCTGTTAATAGAAGACAGGAAAATGAAAACTGGATGAACATGACAATGTAACACAGTCAAATCCACAGGGATCCAGAGAAATAGGAAAAACACAATGCCGAAGGGCAGGCCGCAGAGGAGGAAGACGAGCACTGTGAGCAGGATGGTCACGTACAGCCTGGTCAGCGGCATCTTCCGGGATCCACAGAGGATCCTGACCAGCAGGACCAGGCTGGACCCGCAGAGAATCACAAATAAAAAAATCAGCCACGCGACTGTGATGAAATCTGATGTTTGACACAAAGCAGAATCAGCATCACTAAACAGGAAGCCACAGAGCATCCACTCCAGGATGCTCCTCAGCAGGGACAGGGCCCAGAGCAGGGCGCACACGACCGCCGACAGGTGCGCGGGGCGGCGGCAGCGGTACCAGATGGGCCACAGGACCGACACGCAGCGCTCGGTGCTGATGGCGCTCAGCAGGCTCAGGCCTGTGAAGTAGGAAAGCATTATCATAGGATAGAGGAATTTAGAAATGGGATGAATGATATTGATGAAGCGTAACAGGGAATATATAGCGCGGCTGCTGAGGAAGAGGAGGTCAGCCGCTGCCAGGTTGAGGATGTAGGTGGAGAAGGCGTTCCTGCGCACGCGGAGGCCCAGGAGCCAGAGCACCACCGCGTTTCCCGTCAGTCCGACAAGGGAGGTGATCCACGTCAGCACCGTGAGGATCAGGGTCTGCACGTTGCAAGGAGGCTTCTTAAGTCCAGTGATTGGTATCAATTCTGTATCCAAGGCTGGGATGGTTGGATCCATGCTCAGAAACCCCAGTCTGGTGCCCCTGGGAACACAAACCAGATGTGATGAGCAGCTGTATGATCTCTGATTCTCCCCTCCACTCTGCCATGTGGGACTTACTGTCCTCACTTTAAAGAGAGAGAAACAGAGGCTTGCAGAGAATGCTCACCTATTAAAAGCTGGGGGTTCTCAAATCCAGTTTGAAATCCAGTTCTTATTGATTCTAAAGTCTGACCTCTCTCTATGGCCACACAAGTTCTGTACTGATATGGGAATAACGTTATGATCAAAACAGCCCCACTCACCTGGCCAGGGCTGTGGACCTGATCATTATATTGGGCCTCAAATTTTGTCTTAGGTGGAGGAATTCAGATACACAAAGACATGGTTGTGACACCCTCATGACTAGGACTGCTCATCCATGGACAGGAAAGAAGACCATGCATTATGAACCAGAGAAGAATGAGAATTTCACTAGGATAAGTGTGAAAATGGTTGGGCCTGGTGGGTGAGAAATAACTCAGTGTGTCTATCATTGCAGACAGGACCACATTTTACATTTTATACTCCCAGTGCCTATTTTTATGAGCAGCACACTATGCTCTTTATAAATATTCATTAATGAATGAATGCATGCATGAGGAGCCTAATGGTAACGGTAGATTTGGGTGAAATGGAAAATAAAAATAAAAGCACAATGTATGGCATTAGAACACACATGTGTAATTAAATACAGAAAGTTTCATTCGTCAGAATTCTACTTGTGGACAGCTCTATCTGTGTAAAAAAGAATTATTGGTGTGTGTCCCAAACCTGAAATTGACCACTGATGTGCCTTTGAAATGAGGACTCAGTGTCGTTTTGCTGAACCCCTAGAAGCGTTTTTCAACACAATGTTGGATGGAGTGTGGGTCTGATCTGAATGCTCAGCAATAGAGCAGAGGAAAGAGTAAGTGCGGGTGAGGTCTGAGTGCCACTGAAGTAGGTAACTGAAGTGTGGGAATATCTACGGGGGACTACTAAGTGTTCTGCTGGATATACGCAATGTAAATCTATTTCATTCTTTCTTTCAGGAGATTGTCAGTTTGTTTCTTTGTTGATGCAAACATTTGTATAAGAAGAGCCCATGAGGAGAAATAAGAGATGGTATCTGACTTGGAGTATAAAGAGAGATTTTCATGTAGATTTCAACTGGAGAATGAAGACTAGGTCTTACCTGGGAGAATAACAGAAGCCGATTGAGAGTTTATATGGTACTGGCTCTTTTAATCACCTGAAGAGCCTAGGAGGTAAGAATGAGTATAATTCCCATATGGCAGATAATGCATTGGAGCACAAAAGAGTCAATTATTGGTTCTGGGGCTGATATAGTATGAATTTGAGCCCAGCAGGGCTGACTCCAGCCTTGGAACAGCCCTCTAGACCCAGCACCACTTTGTGCCAATTATACATGTTGCAAGGGGTAAAGCTGAGGAGTGATTCTCAAGTTAAATTCAAGTTGGCAGTCAAAATTGTGGATTGAAAAAAAAAAAAAAAAACCAAACTAAAGAATCTTCAGATAGAGGAAGAGAAGCAAATCAAATTGGGAACAAAATAGAGGTGAGTGAACACCATTTAGGAATGAATTCAGGAGTTTCTTTTTGCCTGTCAGAGGCCACGTTTTCTCTGGAATCCTGAGGATGCACAGGGGCAGAAGGACTCCAGGTGGTAAGAAGAGACACCCTCCTCTGGGAGTACAGAGGAGCCTCAGGAGTGAATGCATCCATCATGAACTCTCTTAGAGAGACAAACTGCCACAGCCCTGCCTGGCCCGAAAAGAAAATGTGAGGAAGGAGAATCTCTGTTACTCACATTCAGGACGCTAAACACTTTGTCCATCTGTATTTAGGGTATGATCTGTTTTTCTTCCTCATGAAACCTGAAACTTCATAATCACTAAGTCATGCCTGTCTTTTCACTGTGGTATCACCAAATTTTGGCATATGTTTCTTAAAGACCATCTATGGTATTATCTTCATACAACATAAGATGAAGCCAACGCCTGGAGAGTTAAAGGGTTTTCCTGAGATCACAACACAAACAGAAGGTCCAATACCAGCCCTTGGTTCCTGGAGCCCTGCATGAGACTTCTGTACTGTTCTCTGTCCCATCATTCATTATTTTTGAGAGTTCCTAAAATATCTTGATGAAGAGACTGCTACTTTGCCCCAGTATTCATTTTCCTCTTTGGTCACATAACAATTCTGAGGGTTCAAAATCAGCACAAGGACCCACATGCCAGTTTTTCTTGATGCTGCATGACATTGTATGACCAGGTGCTGTTCAATGGAACGTGCAAAAAAGTGATGTAAGCAAGTCATGGCTCACAGGATTAATAGAAGGAGCAAAGCTTCTTCTTTCCTTCAACCTTTTCCATCACACTGGAATACTGATGTGGCTGGGAACTGTGTAGGATCACAAGGATGAGGGTAACTCTCTAGGGATTGGGGAGTAGCAGTTTTTGGAATTCTGATGTACAATGCCTTGGAACTTCCAGCACAGATCTCAAACAGTCAGTCATTTCTGGGTATTTACATAGGCTTGTTTCCGGGACCCCAGCCCACACCAAAATGTACAGATGCTCAATTACCTTATACAGGATGATGTGATATTTGAATACAATACTGAAATAGTTTCTAGAGGGAAACTTCATCTGTATACAATATCGCATTGTCTTGTACAAGGTAATTGAGCATCTAAAGATTTTGGTGTGTGCTGGAGTTCTGGGAAATAAGCCCTTATTCATACAATCTATGTACTTTCTCTCAGGTACATTAAATGATTACTAAGTTACTTAGAATAACTGACAAAATGCAAATACTATTTAAATTCTTGTTTTGCTGTATTTTTTCAGAAGTAATGACAGGGAAAAAAGAGTCTGTATCTGTTCAGCACATACACAACTCTGCCATACCTTTATGAAAATACTTTTCACCTGCGGTTTGTTGAATCTGCAGATTCAGAACCTAGTGACCCAGAGGCACAACTGTACTTTCTTGCTAAAATATTTCCACTTCGTGTCTTTATGAGAGCAGCTAAACTTACATTCTTAACAAAAGAAATATGTTCTCTAAAGTAGTCTGAGAGCACTGAAATGAGACTGGAATCAATCACCTTTAGACAGAGAATGCCCCAGGAATTAGGAGGATATAAGAAGGTGAGAGGGATAGTTTCATTTGCCATGAGGACTTGCTTTCCATTCTTCTCTATCCTATTTGACATCCCAAGAGAGTGACCTCTATGTACCACAACAGTGGAATTCTTTTTAATTCTAGTGTCTGGTGGAATTGAGACACTGGGACACACCAGCAGGAGAGTGACATGGGATTTCCACCTACTGGCTCTCTGCCTGTGTATTAGTTCATTTTCGAATTGCTGTAAAGGAATACCTGAGATTGGAAAACTTATGAAGAAAACAGGTTTAATTGGCTCATGGCTCTGCAGGCTGTACAGGAAGCATAGCAGCTTCTGCTTCTGGGGAGGCCTCAGGAAGCTTCCAATTGTGGTGAAAGGCAAAGGGGGAGTGAGGCGTCTCCTAAGCGAGAGCAAGAGCAACAGAGAGAGGGAAGAGGTGCCTCAAACTTTAAAAAACCTGGATTTCATGAAAAGTAACTCACTATCATCACAGCAATACCAAAGGGGGATGGTGTTAAGCTATTCATGAGAAACCATCCCCCTGATCTAACCACCTCTCACAGGGCCCTCTCTCCAACAATGAGAATTACAGTCAACATGAGATTTGGGTGGGGACACAGATCCAAAACATATCAGCCTGTGTGGCTGTGTGTTGGCCATGCAGGGCTTCTCTATCTGCCTGCTCCCATTCTCCCACCCCTATGGCTACAGCTATGGCTATGGTGTCAATGGTAACTGCTCCTTCCTGTCCCTTTCAGCCTAGAGGAGGAAGTAGTGTTCCCCTAGGTATTGCTGCTTAGGATGATGAGCCAGGCATTGTCTCTTTCTCTTAACCCAACGCATCTTTGTAAATACTTCCCTCATGCAGCACTCCTCAGTCATCTCGGTTTGTACCATCTATTTCTTCCTTGAACCTTTTCAGACAGGCAAGGAAGAATAATTTAGAAAAGTAAGTAAAACAACAAAGCATGCTTCTACAGCAGTTCAACTCTGGGAAGTAATGCCTGCATGTCCCTTTCTCTTTAAATGAATGTTAAGAGGCAGCATTCTCTCCATGAGGACAGATTCAGTGATTGGAATAATGGAAGTGATATGGGGAGATTAATCAGAAGCGGGGACCCAACTCCAATTGCAGCTCACACAGTCTGGGTTGGCAGTACTGTTTCCGGAAGGAAACTTCATGTCTCCTGTGTTTTCCTGAAACAAGCTCATGATCCCCTGCCTGTAGCACCTAGGTGGAAACGCAGAAATGATCTTACAACAAAAACCATAACTGACTATGGAAAAGACAGTTCTTGGTACTTACCCTTATCTTTTTTTTCTTTTGTCCAGAGGTGAAGATTTCCCTTGTGCTAAAGGTGGAGAGCCTTTCTGGGATTCTGTGTCTTCAGAGGATCCTTTTGTGTTGCTTGATTCAGGAGATGCCTCCAGGAGCTTGAGTGAAAGCTGGTGAACAATCCAGGCTTATGAAGATGCTGGAAAGCCTTGTTATTTCCTGTATGAGGACTATGGACAAATCAGTGATCAGAGATATTTGAGACATTAAACCCTATTTGAAATGATTCTTGGCCTCTCTCCCATATTCAATTCATATAAGCCTCTCCCATTGCATTCCATGTTGGTCAACTTCCTTGAGAAAAACAGTGGCACAGTTTGAGAGGATTGATTCCCGTTTTAAAAGAAGTTCTACTGTGTATAAAATGCTATCAAACAGCATTGCTTGCTACATTAAAATCTTTCATAAAAGAATGTCAATTGACGTGGCAAAACTTCATTTTTGTCTTGTTTTAAGATACTGGTACAACCTGTCTTACCTTCAGCAGCCACCACTGTGATTAGTCAGCAGTCATCAACATCAGGCAAGAGCCTCCAGCAGCAAAATGTTTGGCTTGGTAAAGGTTCTGATGATGGTTACCATTTCCTAGTAAAAAAGTATTTTTAAGTAATGCATGTAGATTGCTTTAGACATAATGCCATTGCACACTCAATAGACTACAGCATAGTGTAAGCATAACTTTTAAAAGCATTGGGACCAAAAATTCATGTGATTCACTTTATTATAATATTTGCTTTATTGCAGTGGTAGAAGCAGACTTGCAATATCTTCAGCGCATGCCTATATATGATAAAGATTGTATATTATAGTATTGTGTAAAATAGGCACTATTGAATGAATGAGATTGGAACAATGGAATTGCCGTGTGAAATAAAATAAAGGTGGAATCAGATTTTACATATGATTTGAGGATAAATCCAAATACACTGCTTAAAATTTTTTAATGAAAATACAACTACCTGGAGGAGACATAGCAAAATAGTTTTAAATCAAAGTGGAAAAAGACTTTCAATTATAGAATACAATTCAGAATGCATTAAAGAAAATGTTAATAAAGACAAAACACCAGTTTTGATGGCCCACTCCTATAATCCCAGCACTTTGGGAGGCCGAGGTGGGTGGATCTCTTGAGCTCACAAATTCCAGACCATCCTGGGCAACAGGGTGAAAACCTGTATCTACAAAGAATACAAAAATCAGTCATGTGTGGTAGCACATGTCTATAGTCCCAGCTACTCAGGACTTTGGGGCAGGAGGACAGCTTGAGCTCAGGCCATGCAGGTCACAGTGAGCTGACATCACACCACTGCACTCCAGACTGGCTGATAGAGCCAGACCTTGTCAAAAAAACCCAAAAACCAAAAACCAAAAACAAACAAACCCTAAAAGCTATTTTTAGCATGACATGAACCATCATAATCAAAATATAAACAAACTGTTGCCAGGCATGGTGGCTCACCCTTGAAATCCCAGCACTTTGGGAGGCTGAGGCAGGAGGATCACCTGAGGTCAAGAGTACAAGACCAGCCAGGCCAATATGGTGAAACCTGGTCTCTACTAAAAATACAAAAATTAGCCGAGTGTCACGGCACACGTATGTAATCCCAGCTACTCAAGCGGCTGAGCAAGAGAATCGATTGAACCCAATAGGCAAAGTTGCTCTGAGCCAAGATTGAAACGCTGCACTCCAGCCTGGGTGACAGAGCAAGACTCTGTCTCAAAAAACTATAAATTAATAAAATTAAAGAAATAAACTGGGAGATTTCTTGGTAATGCATGTTATAACCAAAGGCTATATTTTCTCTATTGAAAAAAAGTTTTTCTAAAATGATATTAATAATTCAAAATTCAAAAAGCTAATAAGAAAATAAGTCATGAGTTACAATTTCTAGAAAATAAAAATGGCTTCTAAACATATGGGAAGAGGAGAAACGCAACTCATAATAAAAGACATGTCAATTAAAATTAGAGAGTTATATTTCACTTACCAAAATACAAAAGGCCACGAAGTTTTATAGTATACAGTATGAGGATGGGGTAGGATCAGGCACCCTCGTTCATTTCTGCTGGGGCTGCAGATGAAACAACTTCCAGTGAAGGCAATTTTCCACCTATGTAGGCAAGTATAAAGTATCATCTTTTTCTCCCTGTGATTTCTCATCTAGGGATTTATCTTAGAAATATATCTGTGCATGTTCAAGAGATCTATGTAGTAAGATAATGAATGCAGTGTTATTTACAGTTAAAGACTGGTAAGAGCCAAAATGGTCATCCATACTGTATAAATTATGGTCTACCTATGCAATAGAACAATCTGCAGCTGCACAGGAAGAGCAACAAACCTAATATAAAAGGGCCTCCAGAATTTGTGAATTTAAAAAAGAATGCAGACCAGTATATATATTGTATGACAAAAAATATAGTTGTTTTATTATTAAATATTTGTGAATTAATATGAAATTATTCATGAGTATAATAGAATATGTATTTAACAAATACATATCCTATTATATATAATTCAATCCTAATATATATAATTAATCCTAATATATATAATTTGTTAAATATAATTATATATAATTATACATATAAATATAATTATTTATATAATCATATATATAATATATATTATATAATATATATTTATATAGTATTATTTATATAATATTATTTATGTAATTATTTATATATAATATTTATGATATATATATTATATACAATTATTTTTATATTTTTATAAATATAATTCTATTTATACATATAAATAGAATTATATATATATAATTATATTTAACAAATACATATCCTATTATACTCATGAATAATTTCACATTAATTCACAAATATTTAAGCATGCCTGAGGACCTAAAATGGGAATGACAGTTTTCAGTGTGTGTATTTAAAGCATATTTTTGAAAGCTCTAACTTTATTGCTATGTCACAAACAAATTTTCAAAAATAAAATAAACTTAATCATCTAGCTAAGAGAGGGAGATAGAAATATGAGAAGATATGAGGAAGGGTGAGGAAATGAAAATAATGAGTACAGAAAAATATTTGGAAGATTTTTTTTTCTAAAGGAAAGAAGAGAATCAGGTTGTGAATGGAGACGAATGGGGGCTTGGATGATGTTTTAAGCCAAGGATAGGATGGGGTGTTTCAATTGCAATGGGAGGATCCATTAGAGAAGGAAGCATTGAAGATGCAGGAGGGAGAAGCAATAATGCTGTAAAATGCTTCTGGGGAGGGAACAGGGGAAACTGCACAAATGGAAAGGGTGGTTTCAAATAGGAATTTGCAGAGTTCATTTCCTGGCATGGGAGAAAATGCAGAGAGATGTGCTTAGAGGCAGATGGGGAGGTAGGTCCACTCTGGGGAGATTGAGTAATTCTCAGAAGAGCATTACCTGACAATGATTTTAAAAAATAAAGAGTAGGCGGTTTCAGGAGAGAGAAGATGGTGTGAAGATTTTCCTTTGGAGAGTGAGAAGCAATTATGGAAATGTTACATGACTATTTAGAATACGTAAGTGGACATCTCAGGTTCGAGGTCATAAAAGTACACTGAAACTGCTAGGCATGGGTGTGTGTTGTGCTCCAGCTACACTAAGTTCTCTGGGGACAGTAATGGAGTTAGTGGAGGGCTGGATTCAATCAGGGCAAAAGACGAATAGATGCTTCAGCAAGGAGATATGTGCACGGTAAACAAACACAGAAAAAGATGTTCAGCATCACGAATGTTTAGGGCTATAAATAAAAATTACAGTGAGATACCACTCTACTCTCTTAACATAGCTAAAATATGAAATACTGGTAGTTTCAAAGATTGGCTGAGAGGTTTGAAGGAATTGGATCTCTCATACACTGCCAATGAGAAAGTAAAATAGTAGAGCTACTCTCAGAAATCCTTTTGCATTTTCATACAACCCAGCAATTTAGCCATTAAATTTATCCTAGAAAACTTTGTTCACTTAAATATCTGTAAACATATATTTGCAGTTGTTTAGTTTATAACTACCACATTAGAAAAAACAGCAATATCCTTCCACTTACGAATAGTGAAACAAAGCACAGTACGATCATACAATGGAACACTACTCAGTAGCTTAAAAATAATCAGCTATAAGCTATTGATACCTGTAATATGTTGGGTGAATCTTGAGGACATTATGCTGAATGAAAAAAGCCAAAGTCAAAAGATTAGCTACTGTATGATTCCATTTATGTAATACTTTTGAAATGACAAAATTAAAGAGATGAAGAATAGATCAGTGATTAGAGGGATTTGAGAAGAAGCATACTGGGGGTGTCACAGTAGGAGGAGCCCAAGGTAATTCTTCTGTGGTGAAGAAACATTTCAATATTCAAGGTCATTCTGGTTATATGAATCTACACCTGTGACAAAATGTTACGAAATGAAACATACAGGAATATCTCACTCCAAAAATGAGTGCATGCAAACACTTGTAAAATTTGATAAGATTGTACTGTAGGTATTCTACGAAATCTGATAAGATTTGCAGTGTAGATAATTACATGGTAACAATGTCAATTTCCTAGTTTTGATGGTATATTTACATAACATGTCGGTATTGCTGCAGGTTGGGTGATGGGCATACAGGAAATCTCTGAACTCTTTTGTAACTTCTTGATAGTCTACAATTAGCTCAGAATGAAAACTTACAAACAACTGAAATGCCTCTTCATTGTATGAACTACATTTATGGCTATTGTAGTCACCAAGAATGAGAACATGGGGTATGCTGAAAGGAAGTTTGTAAACCAGTCGCATAGGCTAGAAGGTAACATAAATAGCATTCGCACACCCAGCACAGAATTAAACACATATTACATTTTATCGTATGTTTCCAATAACTCTTAAAACGAATACATATGTTTTACAGATACGACTTAAGGCTGAATCTTACATCTTTACTCTTACCAATAATTGCACATGTCTTTGATTAGAAGGCAAGGGTGCCTGCACACCTGGAATGGGAATGACAGTTGTCTTCAACTTCAGAATGCATGTGTTTCCTGTATATTATTCTGTCACATGTGTAGCAAGATGTTAAAACAGGAATATTAAACTAAATGTCAAGACACTAGAGATATGATACTACAAAAGAGGTGCTAGGTGACACAGAATTTGAATAGAAATTTTTGGACATTCATATCAAGGTTATGCAGAGTTTAGATTTAAATTTTTATGTGACAATTACAATGTTGAATTTCGTTCAAATATTAAGTATCTCCCCTACTCCCAATATGGGCCTTTTGCAGATGAAAATGCTGCTTCAGAGAACGGACTGCATTCCATTGCTTCTCTCGTCTCCCCTAAATCCTTTACTTTTTCTTTCTTTCTTTCTTTCTTTCTTTCTTTCTTTCTTTCTTTCTTTCTTTCTTTCTTTCTTTCTTTCTCTCTCTCTTTCTTTCTTTTATTTTTTAAATCTATGCCTTCTGAGCCTTGAGGGCTAGACATATCCCCGTGAGGAGGGTAAGGAAAGCATGGCACTGATTTTGTGTCTTGTCCTGTTGGCCAGACCTGCCTGGCTGTCTCTGGACTTTACATTATTGTGGTGTTCACTCCTACAAATGTCACAAAACTGAGAACAAACCCTATCACTTCAAGTCCACGAAAGATAATGCTCATTATTCAGAGCACTCCAGCCTTGTGATTCTATTTAAGAGGGACCTTGCCATCATGACCAAATACATGGAGTGGCACAAGGAATAAAACTCATGAATAATTTATTCACCATTCCCT